ACGAGTCGGATCTCATTCGAATCTGAAAATCCGAGACTGGATATTCGAAACGTTTTTACGTCCTGAAAAGTCGGATTCGGATGAAGTTCTTATCTCTCTCCAATTTTTATCTATTCATTTATTCTCCCCCCCCCCCCCCCCCCCCCCCCCACAAATTCCNCAATTTTTTTTTTTTTTTTTTTTCTCCCCCCCCCCCCCCCCCCCTCCTCTAGTTTTCCATGATTTTTGCGAGAGCTTGAACCTCCATCATACACGAGAGGAGAGGAAGACATGCTTAATCGCCGAACTACAGGATGTCCCACTCGGAGGTATCCATTTTATATTCCTGATTATTACAAGTATGTACAACTTTCCAGTTGAAACTAATGTGGGACAGTTAGTGTGGTCTTTGAAGGTTTGTTTAGTACTCAACATGCCCACCTTCTCTTTTAACACATTTCTGGAGACGTTCAACAAAATTATCCATAACTTTTGCACAGACGATACGGGATATACCCTGATCAACATCAGTGATGTGATCTTGCAGCTCATCCAAGGACTGTGGACGCGTAGCATAGACTCTGTTCTTGATGAAACCCCACAAAAAAGTCGTCTCCAGAGGTGGGATGAAAGAGAAGGTGTACATGTTGAGTACTAAACAAAACTTCAAAGACTGCACTAACTGTCCCACATCAGTTTCAACTCGAAAGTTGTACATACTTGTAATAATCAGGAATATAAAACGGATACCTCCGAGTGGGACACCTTGTATTGCCAAGGTCGAAGGTGGAGAAGTCGAGATGCCCCACGCATGGAAGTGACGTACGTTTGGGAGGCCCATTCCGAATAACTTGAACTGATGCAAGATGCAAAATCTTGGGTAGTTCTTAACGAAGGATCATTTCTTCGTTTCGCTTTTTCCGAGAGTGACAGAGGCAGAAACCGTACGGGATGGGATGGCGTCGAAGTATGTCGGACCTTGCACCCGTCTTTCTTATTTTATGCGTTCATATGCCACCGAAAACCGAAGGTAAAGCTTGCCGCACGCAGCAATATTGCTTTTCCACCGTCGCCGACGAGACCTCTGACACGCGACGTTCACGAGACGAAGGGATCGGCGATCCTGCTGGGAAGTGGCAGATGGTGATCGAAGGAAACGTTTGTCGTCTGCCACCGACGGGCGAGGCGTGAAGGCTCTCCGGCTCTGGCTTCGATCTCTTTGTCAAAAAGGAAAGAGAAGAGGAAGAAGCGGATGAATCGTACGAAGCGGAGGGAGAGGCGATGAGTTTACCATGCGGGAAGCAGTGCCATAATGCACAAGAGAACGGGAGAGTCCACGGTATGCGACGACCGAGGAGTCGAAAGACTGAGACGAGCGCTCGAACGTCGAATTTCATTTCTCGGCTGCTAAAGTGATGCGATAAAATGTCGACTCTGTTCTGCTCATTTTGCGGATGGTTCATTTTAAATTTAAGTTCGTTTCAATTGGGGGAGGGGGGGGGGGAAAGAAAAATTCGGATCTGATTAGACCCAGAATGAGAATTCAAATTGATCCTCGAATCCGACTCGGACTGTCAAAATGGCGATTCCACTCTTCTCTTGCCCCTAACCCTAATTCCCGAACGAACAATCTCATCGGTCACTTTCCGCTTCCAACTTTCGATGGAGTCGATCAGGTTCTTTCTCGGGATCCGGTGTTCGAGTCACCAAAAGACTTATCCATTGCACCGTCCCTTCATGTTATTCATCCTCTTCAAGCGAGCCCACCGAAAAGCAGCAACATGAAAAGTCGAGCAGGTCTCTGAGAAAATGAATGGTTTTTCCCAGGTTATGTGATGAGTCGCCCAGCTATGATCCGGTTGGTGACGCAGGCTCTTCCCATGAACAATGATACCTGTCCTTCATTCAGTCCTGTAGAGGACTACCAAATGGGTAAGTGCATATATTTAGTTCACCTAAAACTTTAGTCGAGAGATGGTGCCAGGCTATTAACTTCTGCGCCGCGTCTTCAGTCGTGTGAGTACCAGCGGTATTAACAAATAATACTATCCAAACTATACGAAGTAATCCGAATGAGATGTCATTTCGAAAAATCGAGTCGTCGATATGTATTTTTTAAATAATTATAATACTGCATAAGCACGAATAACTTGTAAAGTTTCCATAAGTGTAAAAAGTAAAACTAAAGGTATGAAGTAAAAGCTAAGTTTTGGCCAGGGATGGAAAAGATGAAAAATGCGTATTTTGGAATGTCGAAGGAGAATGCTTAGAAGCAGTGGGGGTTACCCTGGGAGACGAACGAGACGCGGAAGGACGGTCTCGGTTTTATCCTATTGGCGTGAACGGTCAGATACTGATCGCAGAGAATCCAGGCCTCGCACCCTGGTTCCAAGATCTCGCCTATCATCCCGTGAAGCGAGGATTCCAGTGCTGTTCCCCGACTGGAATCTCCCTCCACTACGTCGACGGACTCACCATGTACACGCTCGAGTACGCCATCTACCACCTCCGGACCCTCGGCGTGGATCACTGAATCTCCGTTTTCTCAATAAATTGCATGGCATCGGAATTCGACTCTTTACTGGGATATTGGAGCTCTCCGCTACTCAAAAGTAGCACTTCCAAGCGAAAAGAGAATTCGAAAAAAAACTGCTGCCCAGGATTTGGACTCTCCATGACGTCACTGGCACTTTTTTCGGGGTTGGATCTAATTTCCAGCATCTTATGCATTTGATGAAAGAAGGGTTAAACTCAGGCTACTTTAGGCCTGAGTCAAATCTATAGGAAATACATTTGGGCAGCTCAGGAGTAAACATATTCCCAGTCTAATTTGGAATTGACGAATCGATACTCACATGCTCGGTCGAGTTTGTCCCCCGGAAAAAGAAGCGGGGGAGCATCTGCATCTCCGTTTGGAAAAGGGGAGGCTTCGTCTATTTCTTTGGCATGGAAAGACTCTGGATAGCAGATTCGTTACGCGATTTGGAATCGCACTATAGGCATCGATGGAGAGATGTGGACATCGCCACTCTGACAGCGGAAGCTTTAGCTAGTGAGGACTGGAGGGTTAAACTCAGCACCGTAACTGAAGCACGCGTACGGTGCATCCTAGCCTTAAAGCAAAAATTTAAGAAAAATCCACATAGACGGACTCCCTTACGAAAAATTCCCCTACCGTCCACTGGGGGACTATCCTAAAGGTGGAAAATACCGAACGGAAAACGGCACAGAAAGCGGAGGGCGGAATTTCGTGAAACTTGACAACGGAAATTACCGCTTTCAGCGGTCGCTTTCGTCGGACGGAAGGCAATTTATAATGCATACTAAGCGATCGCACTTCTAGCTGGAGAGATTCAACATCAATGTACTGGAGGGAAATTCAATGAAAACCAGGCAAATATCATTGCGAGCCACATTATCCGCAAAAATAGATATTTCCAAAAAAGGCAAGGTACCTAACGGTGTCTCAGAAATAATGGCACTCTCAGTATTCATTGAATATCACTGTCGTTTCAAGCCCCTCATTCTTGATTTTTTAATCATTGATTTTCTGTACGATTCTCTACAAGCCCATATCGGTTTATTTTATTTTCGTATGCTACCACCGTCATTCTCTACGACAGCTCGCAAACGAGACGACCAAGACAGACAAGATTCCCACGCGACTTTTTTCGGAATTCGCTTTACAGCCACTTTCAGTTCCTGAAGAATCCCTTTGCTGCTCGCACGATCCCACTTGATGGCCTGCACGAGCCTATTCCAAATCCAATATAGTCCAATGGTTTCAAGTCGACCAAAAGGGTGGCAAGTAGCAGAAACACAAGTTTCCACAAAAGGTGATGGTCTGGTTGGGAGCGTATTCGAAAAAGCTAACTCCTCTGGTCATTCTCGACAAGAGCAGCGTCAAAAAAGACAGGTACATGGCCGAAGTACTTCCTGTGGTTCGGAAATACGGGAATAAAGTGTTCGGAGACGACTGGATCTTTCAGCAGCACTTATCACCGTCACCATTTGACTCAAAAGTGGTGCGAAGACGATTTGTGCCTTTCTCGAGAAACATCATTGGCCCTCGAATTCTTCTGATTTGAATCCATTGGACTATTTAATTTGGAATGAGCTTGTGCAAGCCCTCAAGTGGGATCGCGTGAGCAGCAACGGGACTGCAATTCGAGTACCGAAATTGGATGTAAAGCGAATTCTGATGGAAGTCGTGTGGGAATTTTTTCTGTCATGAACGTCTCGTTTGTGAGCTGTTGTAGAGAATGACGGTGGTAGCAAACGAAAATAAAGTTATATGTGCTTGTAGGGAATTGTCCGGGAGAATCTATATTTGAAAAATCAAGACTGAGGGGCATGAAATGCCAGAGATATTTAATGAAAACTGAGAGTGTCATTATTTCTGACACCCGTTAATTTTAGCTCAGTTGGACCAAATGACTTGAATTGTATGCGAGAAGTGACCTGGACTCACCCGAACATCTAAACTCTTTCCCGATATTTTCCTATTGATTCTTCTTCATTACCTAGTCCCTATTTACTCATTTGATCTGATTCCAAACAAAAAGGCATACCTCCGTACTTCCACGGAGGAAGTACGGAGTCTCTCCCTTCTTTTCTCTGAGTCCATATTTAAAATTTTCCTTCCATTCAGTCTCCAGCGATCCAACTAGACTGGTTCGCTGACGAACAACTACAATATTTTTGCCGTAACGGAAATTCCGCTTCTTCCGTCGACGGAATCCGCCTCCGGCCAGCGGCTTCCGTTTTGTGCTAACGGTAACTGCTGGTTTCCGTTTTCCGCTCAGTATAAATCCACCTTAATCCTCCAGGTGAACCCTATGTGGAATGACCAGATGCCCTTGCGGAGTAGTGTGGACTTTTTGTGAACTGTAGCCCCAGGGGATTCGTCCACTTTTGTCCAGGGGACAAATTTGGACAAGAGGAAAGCAAATCGGAATCCCTTGAGTCTCGGCCGGATACCCCGCCCCGCACGTCATCGTCATATCATCTTCACTTGTAAATAATTGAAAATGTGTTATTTATTCCACTTTTTCCTGTTTCAGTGATATCAGAAGATATATTTGCAGCCTCCGAAGAGGTCGGGTTGTTGTCCGCTGGGGCAGCCGAAATCGATGGTCTTCGTGCAGCTCTTGTCCGCAGCCACCCGCATCGTTCCCGACTGACATCTCCGTTGCGTGAACGTCCCTAACGCATACAACGGCACCGTGATGGGATTGTTGCATTCCAGAGAAAATTTCCCCAAGTTGACGAAAACTTGAAGGGTGTCTTGCCCTCCGCACACCTCGTGCATTCGGCTTCCCGGCGTGTAGCCGTAACATCGTCCGTGTGGCAGCCAGTAGATCTCTCCGTCTGCGCACGGATTCACGCGGCAGACGACTCTGCCGACGAGGTCGTCAAACACGAAGATGTCGCCCGGTCCGCACGGACCTCTGGTGAACAGAGGGTGACAGCCACCGTCCGCTTCCCAAAAGACCAAACCTCTGTCGATCGGACATTCGCAGTGACCGAAGCCGTACTTATCCACGGCGAGAATTTGCCTCCCTCCGCAGAATGCCGTACCGTTAGGGAAAAACGGGTGTTCCTTGGACAGACAGAGTACAGCGTGTCCGGGAATCGGGAGTTCGTTCTGGTCCGAGCAATGGCGTTCCTGGCAAACCGGTTCGGAGGTCGTCGGATCGAGAACGAGCCATTGCCCGGGAGGGCAGACCGAAGTCTTCAAATCCACTAGATTTTCGCAAGAGTTGGTGGGGCCGAAGAACACGGAGTATTCCCCATCGCATTTCTCGATCGTCGGCTCTTTGGGGATCTCCGATGGCAAAGAAGCAGTCTTCGCTTCGAGAAGGGGGGGATTCCGGCTGGAGGGACCCGGAAACACGATTCCACTGTTTCTCGAAAGGCTTCTTCCTGCTCCCAACAGCAGATTCGCGATTAACGTCGTCAGAGTCAACGAATCGCTCCACCACATCTGCCAGATTCACAGATCACAGATTCAAATCATAGCGATCACACGAAAAAACGTCGGGGAAACAAGAAGAAATGATGGAACAAGGGAACACGAATGAACGAAGAAAATGTGGATTTTTGAAAGGGGGACCAGGGCCTTAAGCCTTTTCTAGGGGAAGTGTATGCCTAACAATCATCCTCTTTTAAGCACTTCTTTTCTTCTTTCTTTCCTGTTCATGCCATGAGTTTTTCGAATGACTGCCGTTGTTCAGTCTGCAGAGTACCTGTCGAAGCAGGGAGCTCTCGATTACAGATGGCTAAAATATTAAGCCCGGTTCTGGTTCTACGTATTACTGTCTCCTCGGTCATGCAAATAATTTTTTTAAATTGTGTATGGTCACACTTCCAGGTGGGCACGCATCCATTTAAATGAGACCTCTCTGAGATGGACTTGAGGATAAGCACAATGGAATGAAGTGCAAGAGACAGGAGGCACTTTCTTCAGGGTTCTGCATAGTTATGTACCAAATTATCACTGGTTCGATAGAAGAAGTCCTCCGTCATTGCTTCTTCGATCTCATTTTTCATTCCCCTGTATATATTGGAAATGATGGATTGCATCATTCAAATCATGAAAAGTGTTATTCCAGTCAAGTTGAGCAATCACTTCCTCGAGACAGATCTCCACCTACACATCTGTGTCGATGAAGGTGGCGGACGGGTTGCGCAATGAAATGCATCCAATAAACTGCATTCTGCACCATATACTCCATAACATGAAATGTTCATTCGATAAACTATACTTCGTGAGGGTTCCGTGACGTTCGATACATAGTTAAGCCTAACCCCAGACATAGTTGGCTGCGGAGCCGGTATTTCGGATCGAGGAGAATCCTGATTCCTCCTTTCCCCTCTGCGAATAACTCAGACTCCGCATGTCCTTGGCACGTGATGGAAATCCCGCGAATTCGATTATCTTAGGGCAAAGGAGCCCTAACCTTTGTGATCATTGAGGCTACGGACCAGCGGGCTGTAAACCAAAAAAGTTGTGCCGTATAACTGGCGAAGGAGGGAGGGTGGGGGGAAGGGAGGAGGGAGTGGGTGGGGGGAAGGGGGGAGGGAGTGGGTGGGGAAAGCTTAACGTGTAAACGTCTGCTACAATCATACTTTCAAGAAACACTACCCAAGTGATAATTTCAGATTTTCACCAAACTTTGGTCATTGAAAGGGCTCTCAAAACGAAGTCAAACGGCACCAAAACTTGCGGCTGAGAAACAGGTTTAGGCTCATAACTGGCTCTCTCAATTTTCAGTGATACATGATTATTATAGTCAAGGCCCTATTTTCTTTGACTATAACTTTCCAAGGGAAAGTCAGATTCAGGTGATATTTGACAGAGAGGTTCTTCAGTGAAGGAGGTGTTTTTCCATGCCGCTAGGTGGTGCTGCATGCCGATAGAGGGCGATGATGTCGACAGCAGCGCCACCTACTTACTTGCTATGTCATTTTTTAGCCACTGGAAAAAATTCATTCAGGCCTATGAATCTGTCTGCCAATTATCAGCTGCATCCAAGAGTTCTTTCAAAAGATATGATCAAACAAAGTTGGATTTGACCTAACATTTGAACATTTTTTGGTCATAACTTTTTAAGGAAAAGTCAGATGCAGTTGATATTTGATAGAGATGTTATTGTGTCTATGACCTATTCGTTCCCTTGCCCGGCACATATTTGTACCTATTGACAGAGGGCGCAGTGATTGCATACACGAAGGTGAAATGTGAAGGAGCACTAGGGCTCTGCTTACAGAGCCTCTGCTTACAGAGTTTCTTTGTAATACTCCTAGTAGCACACACCATTGAAACAACATTGATTCAACGCTGATTCAACATCCAGACGATGAACCAGCGTTGATTCAATGTTATGTCTTACTATGGACGTGTAAGAGCACATCAACATGGGACGTTACTGCACTGAAAGTTTCATCTTCTCTTGGTGGGAGTGAAGTGAATGCTAGATGTTTTCCTTTTTGTAGGCAATTCCTATTCACTGTCTCTTACCTTTGCATATGCCACCACAGCGCCACCTGTCAACATGTAGAGCCTTGTGCTGAAGTTCGATACTCGGTGTAGTTTCATGAAGACATGTGAAAATTAAGCAAAGTATCATGAAGAGATGAAACAAAGAGTTAAACATATTATCATCCGGGTTCTGGTAATTACAGGGTTAAGAATAACTACTGCTAGAGAAGTGTGACCGTCACTATTTGGAAACCGTGAGTCACTTTTCACATCGATACTGTTCTTAGCGTTCTATGCTGTACGAACTCTGACATGATGCATCACTGGAAGGAGATCCATCACTGGTAATTTACCCTATTACATTTTCGAGATGGAAATGAAAGAGGTTTCTTTCCTCAGAAGCACTCCGTGGGAAGCATGCACCCCGCGAGCCGCACTTCGAGCACCTCTATCTTAAAGTTTTCGAATGCAAACATATAAGGTTAACGTATGTATGACAAAGGTTTGATTTCGTCTCTCCTATAAAGTTCCTATGATGGAACGCGGGTGTTTTGCAGGGGTTAAAGGACAAGTGGCGATATGTAGATCCAAGGAGGGGCAGGATGCCGAGAGGGAGGGAATCGCACTCGCACCGACACAAAGGGAATGGAGAGAAGTGACAGTCACTCACAGCTAAGGAAGGAGTGGGAGGAAGGAGTGACACAGACAATGACCACCAACACAGAGGATGAGCATCTCAAAACCTGTTGCCTTTTACGGCATTCAAGGACAACGCATGCATTTCTATACCTTCATTTAAAATTCCATTCATGTCTCCTTCTCCCCTTCCCTTTTCCGGTCCCGCAGCGGATATTCAAAGGAGTCCTACGATCATATATGAATGTCACCAATTACCGGCGGTGCAATATCGTAACGGGGAGTCGTCCCCCTGTGACCCGATCAATTTCAGTAAGTGGCAGACTAGAAAATGCAAGTTCCTTTCATGATGATTGATGAGCTCCGGTGTCCTGATTTCGGTGTCACTCATTTTCCCTCGCCATAGCATTCGGTCAGCTAAAGTCAACCTTCAAAGGCTTGGCAAAACGTGTATTTACATCCGGCAAAACGCGCGCGCACACACACACACACACGCGCGCGCGCGTGCGCATACACAAATAATTTGATAGACGATCAAATCTGGGCCTTGGACTGATTTCAAACGGCAGTTCAGTAACAATATGGTTCCAGTTCAGTTGCAGCTGGCAGTTGGAGTTTCTTTGTGTGTGTAGACGGTGAGAGCGCAATGGAACTTCGATTAGACTAGAGTAAGTACGACGAAATCCAAACTGGACTGGAAGCGAGACGCAACTGCATTGCCGTTTGAAATGTGTCTTGGTCCAAACTGGAGATAGAATGAGGAGGATGAGGGAAGGAAGATAAGGACAAGCCGGAAGAGAAGGGGAAGCTCATCCGCAGGCTTTCCAGGGTCATTCTCAGGCTTTCCTTCGAGACTCCTACTATGGAACGTCGATGTCGCCGGCCAAGGGAAGCGTGATGTCCATCTGCGGGCCCTGAGTCTCGGGTCGCATCACTCCTTAGTCTCGACTTTTCCACGCTTTACAGGTCGGGATTGCCTGATATTAGCAGACCTCGATCGAAAACTGGTTCGTTCTTAACCTGCTGAGATGTAGGACCGTACATGTAAGGTTTCAAACTCATCGCGTTAATTTCTCTGTATCTTCCATGATTGATATGGCTTCTATCTCATATACGTAGAAGTTTTTCACTTGACCGAATAAACCTAGTCCTTACGCAGAATACGAGATCACGGAATACGAGTATCTCTCCTCTGAAAAGGCAGTAATGTACCTCTCCCACCAAAAATTGACTTCCGGAAGCATTCCGCAAGTACAAGTCTTCTCGCTTTCATATTAGAAACTTACTGTACCGTACTAGCCGAGAGATGATGCAGCAAGAAAACCCTAGCCCAGGAAAGCTTCCGGAGCAAGTTCAAATTCGTTTTAATATTAATAGAACAACATTCTATGCTGTTCGTTGTTGCGATCGATTTTGGCATTACTAGACGTTATGAGATTATAATTTGGAAAATTTAGTCTCACTGCACTATCAGAGCCCAGCGAATTCATGTAGATAATTAGATAAGTATTTATCATATTATTAACACTGAAACAAATTTTCTTTTTCAAAACCATTTTTGTCAACAAAAGAACTCACTTCGGAACAGGTTAAGCAGTGGTTGGCTAGGTCGTTAGGATCTGCGATCGGAAATAAAATTTTTAAAAAGAGAAGAAAAGTAAAGGACTTCAACGAATAAGGCTCCACGATCAGAAGATCGGCTCCAAACTAATACAGTCACGATCTTGAAATCAAGACATTTATTTTTCTTTTTTATCCATTTTTTCCCCATGAGAATTGGTTATTATTCTCCTGTAATTCAACTTTGCGGGATCACCCCTGCTAAGCCACAGGTGAAAGGGGAAAATGAATATAGTCTATCCGATTCAATCACGCTACTCCGGCATGGCCTCTTTTTTTTATGGTAGTTCTTTAATTAGGCGGTGTCTCGCGCTTGTCAATACCTCAGAAATGGGCTCCAAGGCCATCAGCGGCGGACCTAGATCGAATACAGATATTTTCGAAGGAGAATTCCGAGTTAAAAATAAACGCCTAACAGAGTAAAAACCAGTTGTGATTATAATGCCTCCACCCCCAAGGTGCCTGGGGGGAGGGATGAAAAGGCGAACTCACCCTCTTCCCTTATCGGAGAAGGAGACGGATGACAGTTAATCACCCCTTTGAGGATTAAAAGTATGGCAAGGTTGGGCATGGTGGACTAATGAGAAAATTGTGAGACTATAAATCCCTTGGTTCGTTTAGTGGGTCTGAATCACGATATTCCGGCTCCAGTCTGACTATAAAAAAAAAAACTTGGACTGTTCCTGTCAGGGTAATTGCGGTAAAAACGTTCATAAAATATTTTCTAATCATTTGGGTGCCCAATTCCCTGTAATTTAGACATGTAGACCCACCTTCGTCCGCTCGTATGCGCTTCAGACTAGGCGCTCCATGGCTAATTTACAATAATGAAGTATGCTTATAAGAATGCAAAATTAACTACGGTACCGGAGTGATTGAGTGGGGATGTCGCGGTGAGGGTCGGTTCACAACTCTTCTCACATATTGGGCATTTATTTAGGTCCTTGGATCTAGTTTACGGTTATGCCAACATGCCCGATAATGGTGATAAAAATTTGAACCTTTCTTCATATGAAAAAGAGCTAGCGTTCTCACAGATGTACCGGCAACGCGTGACATCTGTCCTTTAACGGGCGAAGCAGAGGAAGACTTCTGTTCGGTGGAGACATCTACACTAAGGCATAAGAAAGAGAGAGTGCTGTTGTTCGGCTCTCCCCCTCTCGCGGCCCTCGCTCCTCAGTCTAGTATGGCCGCTGCCAGAGGCCAGTGCAGGATGGATATGCCAGGCACGAATCTTCCAGTTTTCTCATTCCCTTGTGTTTGAATTCGAAGGCATGGAAGAGAGTATCGTGGAGGAGTGGCTTCGCTCCCTCCACCTGGGACAATATGCAGATTCCTTCGTCGAGAACGGATACGACGATTTGGAAATCTGCAAGCAGATCGGTGAGCCAGATCTGGATGCCATCGGTGTCTTCAGTGCCAACCACCGATCTCGGATTCTGGAAGCCGTGAAATCCTTGCGTGAAGACGGGGCTGCTTCCGTCTACTTCACTTTGGAGGAAGTGTTTCACGATCAGTGCAATGTGACCAACGCGGGGCGGCAAAGCAATCGGTCGTCGAGGTCCTCGCGAAGCCGATCGTCGCGGGGATCCGTGAACAAGAGTCATCACGGGGATCGCAGTCTTGTGAAAATACCGCGAAATCAGATTCAACAGGCCATCAGAGAGAAACTGATAACCGACGGGATCCGACTCGGGAGTCCCCCTTATACGAATACGGTGAGTTAAATCTGAGGCCAAAACCAAAGTTCTTCATTGGCCCAGTGAGGTAAGAGAAATGTTGCGGAAGGTCGAAATAGAAGCCTTGTGAAGCCATGCCTCAATCAACCCAAATAGCCGTAGTGGACAGGGCTTTGGCTTAGTCCAAAATTTAAACATACCAATATTCTCAACTGTAGACTCATGCGACTTGAGGCAAAAATCTAGTCTTACTTAATTACTCCAGTTGTCGAAGGAAGGACGTAATTTATTGATTATTCGTTGAAGCAAACAAACGTACTTTGATCCAGCCAAAGCAAATAGTAATAACAGTTAACTTGGAACTAAAGCGGATCCATGGTGCCAGTTGGTCAATGCGGAGATTAATGTAATGCGGTGAGTCTGGCCTCCATTTCTCTTTAATTGGCTGGGTCGCGTGTCTTCATCTAAGGGGCCAGACAGCATTTCATCGTGAAATAATTTTTTTTTCTCCTTATTGATCTGATGTGGGACCTGGGACTCATAATGAGAAATCGTGGTAGAAACGTCCTTCCCTTCAGTTTGTAGGGAAATTGGGTAGGCCTACAGGATGGCTCTTATGCATGATCACATTTTTTTTAAGTGCAACTTTCCTTTCTCTTCAAATTCTCAATCGTCTTTTCGCGATTGCAGCAAGTATATTTCTCATTTGAATAATCTTGTCTCGAAGAATGGCAGTAATCTGGTGCTGTGACGTCAGAGAAGCGGACTTGCCAGGTCGGCATGGTGAAACGCATAGTTGACCAATCTGATATTGAACATGACTCAAGGAGTCTTGTTGAACCTGGGGAGATTCGAGTATTTCGTAGAGAATATTGGCCATTCTTATTTAGAATGGATTGAAGAATCTCCCACGTTTTTGCGTGCGTGTATTTCCTTCACTGTCGTTTAAGCTATGTGCTCGTGAATTTCGAGACGCAATTATTTTGGAGAAAATGGTAATAGAAGTGAGAGAAGAGGTCAGAGGAAGAGGGCGAGAGAAAGAAACCGTTATTTCTTCATCTCTACCTGAGGAAAGAGAAGGGACAGGTTTCATCCCACCCTTCCCCTCTTCTGTCTTCCTGTTTTCTTCTCTTCCTTTCTCCCTTCTTATTTTTGTAAGGCACTTTTCAGGCGACAAACACCGTGAATGGGCCTCGGACATTTCAATGACAAATGGGAGAATGGATAGGGGACATAGGGTTTCCCTCAGGTTCTCCAAGACCGAGTCGAATATGCAAAAGGACTCACTCCACACATGTAGGCCTCGTCTGCATGGAATCGTTTTGCGTTTGCGCTTTTACGAGGTAGACTTAGCGTGCGTGAGTCTGTCCCGTGGGTTCGTTTCTGAGGCTTTATTTTGCTGTATTCACGAGGAAAAGAGGGAGGGAAGCCGAAGGAAGAGTGAGGGGAATCTAATGCCCAAGGGCAGACGACGTACCGTAACGGGCAATGCGTGGCCCCGGTCTCTCCTGTCCAGCCGGAGGTGGATCCGAAGAATAGCGCCGATAATTGAACCTGGCGGGTGGGTGGATTGGGATAGGAAAGGAAATAAGGAAGAAAAGAAAGGAGGAAAGAGAAGAGGGGATATGGCCGGAAGCAAATCATTTGCGGCAAAGTTGCCGCCTTCTCTCGTTTGGCCAGCTTTGGGCATGAATGAGACGTACATACACACACACACACACACACGCACACGCACTCATACACGCACACGCACACACACACGCACGCACGCACACACACACGCACACTCGCGCACATGCATACCCATGTACAAACGAAGATTAATGTAAAGGTTTGTCAGGACGTGCGAGGTCAATCTGGATTCACTCTGTCATGCATCAATAATACCGGGTGACCCTCAAGAAGTCCCGAACTTCACATCGCCACAGATGGGACACCATACTAAGTATTGGTAGGATTCGAAGTCCTACAGTACAAGTTGTATGCATGCACCAAAGTGCTTTTACAGTAGCTGGAAATAGCAAGTCTAGGTAACGCCCCCCGAGAAAAGGGGTCACTTCACTTTACTCCCGCGCACGTTGCCTAACGCAACTGACCTCGATTGAAGAAATGCTCGATGGGTTCTCCTTTCTGGTTCATAACCGCTCGCAAGCGCTTTTTCCATCGGTCGATTCACTTCTTGATTGAATCATCATCCGCTCGAGGCCACATTTCCTCAATCCGAGCCTCCCATTTCATGAAGTGTTAAATACTACGTGTTACGCCTGGCATCGATAGGCTCCTTCGCATCGTGCCAAACGTGTGCAAGAGCATTTGAAGAATAAGATTCCCGACTTCATCCGAGAAAATCAGTGGTCTCCCAATTACCTAGAATTAAATTCCCTCGACTACAGCTCATGGAAAGAATCGAAGAAGCTAGTTTGTCCGGATGCAACACCCCTTTTACATCCCTTGATGAACTGAAGGCTCGATTCGAGGAAGTGTGGCCTCTCGTCGATGGCAACACGATGAGGAAGTCGATCAACCGATGGGAACAGCGCGTGCGAGCAGTCGTGGACCAGAATGAAGGACCCATCAAACGTTTCCTCAATTGAGGTCAGTCGCGCTTCTTGGCACACTCGCCCTTCGACGGGAGAAAAACTAAGGTAGTTAACTTCTGAGTTTATTGACATTTTTTGTGACATTACCTGGAAACATCGGATTTGAAACACTGTGAATTTCCTGTCGAAGAACCCATATGGTATTGAGTCTGCCAACGTAGAGTTCGAGACACTTTTTGGACCACCCGGGTGCATCGACAATATTGAATCTCTGAAAAGAAACTGGAAGCAGTGGCTTGCCGCAGGGCTGGGGCTTGCTCGGCTGGTCTTACCTTCTCCTCTCGCTGTCACCAGTCAAAAACGAATTCGCGAGTGATAGAAACGCGTTCATCGAGTATGTGATGGGGTTAACGAAGAGAAAATCATGGAGACTGAGGACCCTGCATGCCTTCAGGTGAACAGCCAGGACGAGAACGGCGTGTTGATGGGGCGGTGGAACGGTAACTACGACGACGGCGTGGCTCCCAGTCAGTGGACGGGTAGCATCCGCATCTTGGAGGAGTATATGCTGTCTGGGGGTCAACCGGTCAAGTACGGCCAATGTTGGGTCTTCTCCGGGGTGACCACCACGGGTACGGCCTTACGATATCGATCGTAATCGTCGTTTTGAATTCGACCGATGGCGCCTCGTCGAAACGCTCCGCGGTCGATTGAAGTGTGCAGGGCGCTGGGGATCCCGTGCCGATGCGTGACCAACTTCGTCTCGGCCCACGACACCGACGCCACCCTGAGCATCGACAGGTACTACGACGCGTCCGGGGACGTGATCGAAGGAGGGCCGAACGGGGAGTGCTTCGACTCCGTCTGGAACTTCCACGTGTGGAACGACGCCTGGATGGCGCGGCCGGACCTCCCACCGGGCTACGGCGGGTGGCAGGCCTTCGACGCCACGCCGCAGGAGGTCAGCGAAGGTCAGGTCTCCGTTGGGTCGTTCCGCCAGTAAATTCGCGAGTCATCGATCGATCCGTGGCCAACGGTCGATACATGGGCAACTAACGGTATCGGCCGGTTTGAAAGCTGCAGATGCCGATGCTCAAAGATGGACGTGCCGAACGAAGAAAATGAATAAAGAAAACGCGAACACGACTTGGTAAATGATACAGCAGTAAGAAAAAAGTAAAGCAGTCACGAAGCATCCATCGATGTATCGATGCCGCTTTCGATGGTTTGAGAGAACGACGGCTTTGTTACCCATCGAGATGATCGCTTCGATCACGAGCGGGAGAGGACTGAAGACGGAAAGCGATCCGCTGTCACGATCGAGGCAAGAAACGACTCAAGTCGATCCGCCCCATCGCGACGAGAGATCACTCAATCCTACCCCTCCCCCCCCCTCCGCGATGCATCGATGCACCAACGATCGTTCAAGTCGATTCATTAACGTTTTCGAGGCAGCCATCGTGACGAATCCCAGAGAATAAAGTCGGTCGTGGCTTCCTCATAGGGCAATTTGAAGAAATATTTTCATATTAAGGTTCGTCGCGATCGGCATCGGCATCGGCACTGGCCGATGGACACGAGACGACGATCGGCCGTCGGCCCATCGACCAAAATTGGCCACCTGTCGGTCCTAGTTTTCGACGCCGATCGGAGAAGCACACCCGTTCGTGACGCCTCGTCTAAAAATGGATTCCAGTTTTCACAATTCTGCTCGACAGGGAAATCCCAGTGCGGACCAGCATCCCTGGTAGCGATTCGGAACGGGGAGGTCGGTTTCGCCTACGACACGCCGTTCGTCTACTCGGAGGTGAACGCGGATATGAACCATTGGCACGAAGATCCGGAGTCTCCGTGGGGCTTCTCGCTTCGGCAGACTCAAGCCTATGGGTGAGTCTTCAGAGCTTTTCACCTGTCGACTCTCGAATGTACGTTCTGTCTGGTCCTGCCATCTATGCAGACGCTCGTGGAACCATTGTGAAAGAAAGAAATGCCGTATTTTCATTTCACTTGTTTTCGTCCCTGCACTGAGAACGTGAAGAATCGATACGGCTGGTCCTCGACTGAAAGCAACTGTACTTGAAACTGTACGATCGCGAAATCAGTCAGATAATGTGAATCATGGAGCGAAAGTGACGCAAGGGAAAATGATTTAGAATAAAAGAATCCTAAAGATGACGGATAGGGGTCGTCGTGTGAAAAAGTCTCACTCTTTAAAACAGGGGTCGGGAACCGTTTTGGCCAGGTGAGCCGAATTAAGATTGAGTTACAGGTTAGTGCTCGCGAGCCAAAGATCTTCAGAATTAAATAATTTTCCCTGAAGTTGGCGAAATTCTTCGGAAAAGAAAATTGGTATTTAAAAAAAAGCACTTTTTTTTCTTATGCTGCCCTTGAGCCACATGTTTTTGTTCGTGAGCCAAATTTGGTTACGTTTTTATTTTAGGGTTTGTTAGTAGGTGTACATGACTTTCTTTCTTCTTAAAACTTGATATTACTGCAATTTATTTTTTAAATCGACGTCTCTGCAATTTTCCATGCACTCACGCACGAATTTCCTCATGAGCTTTTATCGATACGATGCCGTATAGTATTTTTCCCTTGCCATCGCAGAATCGGTCGGGCGGTCATCACGAAGCGTCCGGGACAGTACGACGACCAAGGAGACGGAGACGCCGAGGACATCACCAGCCAATACAAGAACACGGAAGGTGAGAAAGGAAAGCAGCGCCGCGCTCGGAACGCACCACCGACCCCGTCCGGATCGCCCCACAGGCACGAAGGAGGAGCGGGAGGTCATGATGAACGCCGTGAGGATCCTGAAGCCGTCCTTCCCTCACGGAGACCAGAGCGGGGAGGAGACTGCGAAGGACGTCCTCTTCGACCTCGTGGAGCTGGATCGCATCTTCGTCGGGGAGTCCTTTAGCGTCACCGTCCACTTCCGGGTGAGCTCGGGGCTCTCTCCCTCTCGCCCCGAAGAGGCTTTGGGGCGGATTCTGCCCCGAGATCGAAGGTCGATGGCCTAACGGGTGGGCAGATCGCCAATCGAATCACGTTGTCTAAAATCGTATATATTTCGCGGAAGTTTTTCGGTCGTTTTCTATTCGACTACGACCTACTGACGCGATCGAGGTCGTATCACCTTCAAATCCAGCTCGAATCGGATGCTGAATTATTGCTCACACTGCGGTCTTCGTTTCTTGCACTCACTGCATCTGGCCGAATGAATGAACAATGGAAATGCCTCTTAGGCCGGACATTAGGTATTTCCAACGTCCGAAGAACAGTGCCTCTCGACTAAACCTGTCGACTGACTCTCCTTGACTTAATTAGGCCGACTTTGACTAAACGGTGAGTGTCCTTGACATTCGACAGTACTCGTGGCGTCACGTTTTTCCAGTCGACCTGTGGTAATCACAAGAACTACTGAAAGGAGGGTAAGAATCACCTGAGTGGCAGAATCCACGGAGTATTTGCGATGCCATTTATGATTTAGAAGATTTAGTGCCTTCAATCGAAAGGACTTCGTGTTTCATCTGATGCTTAACATATCGAATGACGAACCGAATAAAGGCGTTCATTCACGCGTTCACTCCATGCATTCATCCCAACATATCCACTACCTAGCTACCCCTCCTCCACCCATCATAATCCATGTGATTTTTATTTGTGCCTCTCAGAACGAGAGCGAGGAAGTGAGGACGGTGTTAATCTCTCTGTCGACCAACTCCATCCAATACACGGGGGTCTTCGCAAAATCGGTGAAGAAGATCCAACAGGAGTACACCCTCGAACCCGGACAGGGTGAGTCCAACTTTCCCCCCCTCAGCCCGACCCAACCCCTCGACCTCCACCCAATGAAATTTTTTTAATTCCCATGAAACATTTGTCAGAGGAGGAGCTTTCCCTGAGTGTTCAACCGGAAGACTACATGGATCGCCTCGTGGAGTACGGCATGATGAAGATGTACGCCACGGCGAGCATCAAGGAGACCAAGCAGACTTGGAGCGAGGAGGACGACTTCGTCATCGAGAAGCCGAAGCTCCAAATCCAGGTTGAAGGAGATTCCACTCCGATTCGGTTCTTAATATTCGTGTTTGTGACGACGTGTGGGTTTTCGTCGGTCCAGGTTAACGAGGGGGCAGTGGTCAACCAGGAGGTGGAAGTGACCTTCTCTTTCAAGAACCCATTGGACACTCCTCTCACGCTCTGCAAGTTCAGCCTCGAAGGGCCAGGCCTTCAGAGACCCAAAATCTTGGAGTTCAGGTAATTTCATTTCAAATCCCCCTTTTCTATCCCTTTCCTTATTGTAGCTTGATACTTTGCTATGCGTTTTCTTTTCAAATTCCAAATTTATTTTCCTTTCTGGAAATAGGGATGTGGAGAGGGAGGAAGAGATCACCCACGTGGAGAAATTCGTTCCCCTGCATCCCGGTAACAGGAAAATTGTGGCGACGTTTTCTTCCAAGCAACTCATAGAGATCACCGGGATGGCCTCTGTCACCGTCGACGAACAATAACGGAGATCGTCGGTACATCCGCAGACGGACTCGCTCTCATTTTATTCCCCTTCCTCGACTTTTCGTAGTACGCATTCCCTTAACAATTATTTGTATCCTGAATCTTTGGAAACCGAGGGAACTTTTGATTTCGAGTGCCTTCAAACTAATCGATCACCATCAGCCTCTACCAAGATGATTGCGACTTTTTCTCCTACAGATTAGCTTATACCATTTCAAAAATTCAACTAGAGACAGGGTAACGAGAATAGTGTTCCAAAGATTAGGGGCTTCAAACTTCTTGCCCCAACGAATTCACCAAGACGATTGCGACTTTTTCTCCTACAGATTAGCTTATACCATTTCAAAAATTCAACTAGAGACAGGGTAACGAGAATAGTGTTCCAAAGATTAGGGGCTTCAAACTTCTTGCCCCAACGAATTCATTATCCTGGTGCTTATGTTTTCAATACCGACAAGCAATCTGGCATACACTAGGTTTCCGTGTATTTTGACAAAGACAGAATCGCGGAATTCTTCGACTCGTTCAGCTTGGAACCATCAAGGGGGTGTAAACCAAAACAAGTACGTGGAAAGACGCTGATTGGCGGTTCCCGCCGTTAAATTGTTAAGGAGGCATTTCAGGTGTTTCTCTTGTAATCGCATCCAACTTCAAAGTTTGCACTCGATTGCTTGTGGTTACTTTTCCATATTCTTTCTTTTTCACAGGTATCGCGCTTTGCCTACGTCTAAAATCATTTTATGGTTTGATCCTGTCTGTTAAAACTGGAACGACCATGTGGTGTCTGAATTAGTGCACGATCGCTTCGTTTGTCTGACGTGAATATAATTGTTATTCTCTTGAGAGATGTCTCATTTCGACATGGATTTCCAACAGAGGCACCCATTAGTTTGTATTGTGGCAAGTAGTATAAGAAGGGTGTTATCGGTGGGAGGCGCAGCCTGGCGCAATATCTTATTTATTATATAAACTTAATTTAAGATGATTTAACCTAAGCGCTACCGACTAGGTATAATCGGGGTCTCGTCAACCAAGAGGAGAGGCTCTGGAATTGTGGATCTGGATGGAGGATGGAAACTTTTTTACTCAGGGGTGGACCCAAACATGACTGCTCAGGCGGGAGTGGGGATACTCACAAGCCCCAAGTGGGAACTGTTCAAAACGGCAGTGACTGCTTCAGCTCTGTCCTGCTGTGGGCGTAAGCGGCTCGGTGTGGCGACGGGCAATGAGAAAAGGACTCCTTGGTGGACAGAGGAGGTCAAAGAAGCTGTTCGGGCAAAGAAGGCAGCCTATCTGGCTTGGCTTAGCAATAAGTCGCCTGATTTGCGTAATCGGTACACTCCTAAATGTCTTCGTCTTCAGTCCTCTCCCGCTCGTGATCGAAGCGATCATCTCGATGGGTAACAAAGCCGTCGTTCTCTCAAACCATCGAAAGCGGCATCGATACATCGATGCCGCTTTCGATGGTCGCTTCGTGACTGCTATACTTTTTTCTTACTGCTGTATCATTTACCAAGTCGTGTTCGCGTTTTCTTTACAGGAGTAAGGGCCAATGAAAATGGTTCCCTTTCAGTCTCCATCGCGTCTGTGAAGAGGGAGAGGGGGAGAGAGAGAGAATACGTGTTGAGAAGATTGTGCAGCAAGGAACATAAGAAAATATTATTTTAGTGAATTAGTTAACTTCATGGATGGAGAGAAGGCATGTGCCACCGATGAAAAATTGAAACAGGGATTTGAAAAAAAAAATTGTATGAGGTATGGAATGGTATTACCACAGAACATTATATTTTGCTCGGACTTCCTCCGTCTTCAGACATTTTTTGACGTCCGCGTCGTCTGCATGCCATCTCACGACGAACGTAAGCTTCCGAGTTTCTCTTCGATGGTCTTTTTCCGGAGTAGATTATCTCCTTAGAGTCTTAGAACAATAGTATGTGGAGAATTCGCCTCCAATTTCACATGCGCTAATACTGATAACAGCACCATCGCATCATCCCTCTCCTCCGCAGAGTGCACCCTGATGACATGCATGATCCTATTAAAAAGAATAATTTCGAAATAATGGTTCAGTCATCCTAGATCTGAAAAAAGCCACCAGAAGAGAAAGCTTGAATGACGCTGGCCATGAGTGTCTCTACGTGAAAGACGAGATGTGTTAAACACATCTCTGGTTGCATATCTAACGACTTTGTATACTTTAAAAATCATGGATTTGCTAGATTACTCAGTTTTTACTGACCAATTACAAGTTCAATATATTAGGAGAATTTTTACAACTGTTTCCTCCTTCTCCCTCCTGCTCTACAACCTCCCAATCTTCTCCATAACTGCAAATGAAAGATACAATAGTTAATTCAAATGTAAGAGGGAATGAGGAAAGAAATTCATCATGAGCTTACTAATTAGTTCCTATTTCTTCGAACTTCTTCACCAATGTCAGCATTTGATATATGGTGGCGTCTGTCCCGGTCCAAACGTAAATCTTACATTGGGTCCCCGCCAACCAAGATTTAATGACAGCTTTATTCAAAGACACTGTATCGAACGATGGTCTTAATATTAAAACCTCTTTCTCTGAGGTGTTTCCTCCACCACCATCGCTCCCCCAACACAGGAGCAGATGTTCAGAGAGGAAATCTCGTAAATACTTGTCTATCTCCAGTGACTTCGATGTGTGTATCAAAGTAACCCATGCGTGTTAGAACCAGGTTATTCTCTAAAGCGTTCGCAAAGGACATGCCCAACTTTAGGTAGCCGTTTCTAAAAAGAGGCTGCTCTGAATGTGCCAGATCGCCATTGTGGTTTGAACTCGAGTCGAAACAAATGATGAAACGACGAGTTCCATAGGACTTGAAATCTAATTCCATATTGGTATTTCCAACAGCATCCAGCGTCACAAGGTAGGGTTGTGTGAAGGCATTCGTTTCGGGATCGAGGCTCACGGTATACATCGTTATCCCATCGATCGTTACCGACGCATTGTTCCAGAAAGCATGCGCTGTCTTGAGCGGGTCCAGCCCATAGTCGCCCATCAGAGCTGTTTCGCTAAACAAAGCAAGAACCGTTCTCTTTGGAACGTAAGAACCGAATACATTCTCGCAATGGTAAGTTTTAAGTCCCTTTAGGAGTGCGCGTGTCTTTAAAACTCTTCTCTCCACGGGATAATACAATACGGATCCACTCAGTGCCGCCTCCAATGCCAGATTAGCTGAGGAAATTGGTGTCAACTTTTTCACATGGAGCTCTGCACTTTGCAAAACCAGTTTTAAGTTCGAATCCTTCAGCACATCATTGAGACATATATTAAAAAACGTATTGGAACTACTCGTCAAACGTAAGCGAAGTTCACTTTTGGGCAAGATGGCAAACGGGCACGTTGACAAGTCCAAGTCGAGTTTTGGCATTAATTCCACAGTGGAACTACCGAACCACCGTTTCCTTTGCAAGTCGTCGAGCAATTTCGCATCCTTAACATCCGTTTCTTTCGATTCAAAATCATACCAACCACTGGTCCTGGCCCATGTCATTTTTTATATCTGACTCATGTTCACAAGGCGGCGAAGGAAGGATCGGATGAGTTTCCGTTTTCTCATGTACGAACAGAATTCCAGAAAAGTTCAACGCTGGAAAACAGAGACTGGAGAGCATTCTGAGAGGTGTAATATATTCCCACGTTATCGTCGGATCCAGTTGGGTTCGTCTTGGTATTGTCACCTCTCGAAATGGTACACGAAATGCATGAGACGAATTCTACGTCGATCAGATCGTCGCATGGAGGAACGATGAAATCCAAATAAAAGTCTTGAATGTTATTAGCAGATTGCGACGGGATGGCATTACTCGGTAGATAGCGTTCGTATCTCCAGGCTGTGATACTCTCATCGAACTTTCGGTGAAAGTTTGGATAGGGAAACCGTGATGAGATTGATGTTATATTCCCCGAAATCGGAAGGTAATAGCCTGAAGTTGCTACATGAAAGAAAGAGAATGTAAGTAATCTAATGGTGAAACTCGATCAAAAATATCCCATGCCTTCGCGATTTAGAAACAACTTTCTTCTGGTATCGACGTCGATTACCAGTCCCTGACTGCATAGCTCGTTTAGAAATGTTCCCTTTTATAGATTTTACTCCCTTCTTCTTTCTCGAAACAGTTTTATGCTGTTTCACCTGCTTCAACCTCAACTTTGATTTCGTCCTCTTCTTCCTTTTCGCCTTCTTCGTTGGCAGATGTAATGACGCTAACGACGAAAGAGACAACGCGTGAGTCCTCGAAGGAGACAGAAAAATCTTGACCGTGTGACCTCCTCCACTACCGTACTGTCGGGAAGGAGACGTCGTAAACGTTCCAGACAGGAGTTGTCGAAACTCATCGGTACTGGTGGGAACGAAAGGAACGTTATTCATTCCTCGGTGAGAACGCGCGTGACCAGGGGTAAGGTGTCGACACTGAGATGTATAGAAAGGAAATGAGAGTCGATCCGAATACCACTCCCTCATTTATTTCCGGGAAAATGTGAATTTCGGGGATGATCCTTTCTGGTCATGAACATTAGAAAGGGCTATACGCAAGTGCAGCGCGATACAGGAAAACTAATCAGGTGGGAAAATTATCGTCCTCTCATCCTAATCAACTATTCGAATATATAAATCCTCAATTACTTTCACAGCGAGAGATCTGTAATATACCGGATTGAAGCGCACCTTTTCCCGAATTCAGAGGAAGAAATGAGACGAAGTGAAGGACTGATCTTTCCATTAATGGTGATCATTCCACTGGTGCGGAATTGTTACACGTGACTTTTAAATTAGACTGAAAATTCGGTGCTTTTTCTTTTGTTCCTCATGACACGCATATTCTTTGCTAGCCACAAGCTCCAGAACTCGAGTAATATTGCTTCCAAAAGTAATTGCATAATCGTGATGATGCACGTATGTCTTAAAGTATGTCAATCTGACGCGATTCACTCTTCGTAGATATTCAAACTTGCCCATTGCGTTTTCTTTATAATTTTTCAAACTCTCGTTAATCTGTCCAATAATGGCATTCACGTCCGAGTCATAACGACAGTCAAAAAGT